CGCCGGAAATCCGCCGGAAATACCTTTTTCCGGCGGATTTCCGGCGGATTTGGCCGCCGGAAAAAGTGGGTTTTTTGGTAGTGTTTCATGATTTTAGGGATGATAATTATATCGTTTGTTTTCTAGTTTCTCAATGAACAAGTTTATAAAGGGAAAAATATAGAGATTTAATTTGAACAAGTTCAAAAGTGAAACCAGCGAACAAATTTCACTTATGATCAGTGTACACTTATGATAAGTGTCCACCTATGAACAAGACACTGATCAACATCATGAACATTGTTTTATAGTGTGAATGTGTTTATGATCAGTTGTGAACGCATGCACACTAATTTTTTACGTCTTATTTCACTTATGAACAATATTCACTCACTAACATAATTCACTTATGAACAAATTTCAATAATGAACATAGTTTCACTTATGAACGTATTCAAGTTGAATCTCCATCTTTATTCCTTCGTAAAATTGTTCATTGAAAAACTTGAGAAACTTGAAAGAGGTGATATGATTATCATCCCTAAAAGCATGCAATTCTTTTTTATAGCATTTCATTAATTATAAACTAACTAAAAACCTCTCTAATCTTTACTGAAATTACCCTTGTTCATTGTTGTTCACGCACATCAGTTTCAATCTTATTACAAAATTACCACTTATCAATTTCATCCGTAAATTAGACAAATTAACGGGTAAGACCGGTTCACAAAGTTAACATCAATCATTGGCTTAACAATTGAAGAAACCCCTATATATAAGGCCGGTTCAAACGAGAAAACGGTCAATTTAGAAGAAGACGAGGGACAAACTAAACCACATAATCCATTAAAATTTACTTTAAATAAAAAATGGAAATTGATTTTAAAAATTAGAATAATTACCATTTTGAATTTGGTCAAATGTTCTATTACGGGTATAATTGAAACAAAAACATTATTTCAATCTTTTAAAAATCTTATTATATCTTTTAGATTCATTTATTTATTTTTAATTTTAAGTAATTCATAATTTTATCACGTTTTATAAATTGTTTTTCACTATTTTGTATATAAGCTTCTGTTAAAGAAATTCCCCAATTTTCATCAAATATCAGATGTAATAACCACAATTAATCCATTATTTCTTTCTATATTTCTTGGATCTATGTTTTGAATCACATGTGATTTGTAACATATGATCTGTTACTTATCACATATGATCCACTATGTGTTTTTTTATACATATCACATGTGATCAAATATAAACATATGAATCAGATACCAATAATCATATGTGATCAGATTAAAATCATATGTGATCATATCAATGTCATCATAATGGTCTTCAACATGTATATCGTAAGATAGGTTTCCTTCTTCATCAGAATCGATAAATGGATCCATTACAGATTCCAAATGAAGAACATGGTTAGGAAACGTGATCTTGACATGAGTCTATAAAAGAGAAAAACATCAATACTGGAAATATGAATCATTCCCCTTGAACGTGAAAAATATCACCAAAACAATATTGTGTGATAAGAATATTGTAATTCAAAAAATAGTTGGAAATTAAGTCAAATCCCAATTTAATTAGGTTTTTCTCACATTTACAAAATAAGCATGAGATAAATGTCTTATATACCCTTTTTAATTTAATTTTAGGATATTT